CAGACACGCAGATAAAAGGGTCCAGCCTGAGACCCCCAAAGGGAGGCTGGCCTACTGGCAAGAGGCAGCACCATTAAAACTCCTTGGGCCCAGCCTCCTCTGCCAGACAGCTGGAAGCCAGGCTCCCCTCTCCTTTGCAGGAGGTTCCAAATTAGACGCACCATCTCCAGGTCTGAAAGATAAGGGCTGGCAGCCAGGGCTGACCCCAGGAGTTCCCGCTCTGCGTATACCACACAGACAGACTCTGCCCCTTCCCCGGCCAGATGTGGGCAATGGGTGACTTCCTCCCCCTCCACCGAGGCTGCACGGCTTACTGTCCTCTCTTCCCAGTGCTGAGACCGGAGGGGAATAGGCACAGGTAACACTTGCGCCACTCACCAGGTCGGATGAAGGCTAGAAGAAAGCGTGCGGCGACCAAGCTTCCAGTGGGAAATACACATGGACAGGAATCGCCCGGTGAGGGAAGGCAACCCAGCCATCTATCGGGTTTGTCATTTTGCTCAACTTCCCAGGAAGGAGGAAGACCCAGGTTTAAACTCCACCCACTCTCTCCCAAGAGCCCTGTCCAGCCCTGGTTTGATGGGAAAGCAACAGCCCTGGCTAAAACGACATCAGAGCCTTGCCTACCTGCTCCCCTTGCGGCCACCCTCTACAACTTAACCAAGTGGAGGCGTCAGGGCTGGGCCTGTGACCACAGGAGAGCGCTTCAGGAGGGTGCAGGGACGGAAGGAGGAAGGACGGATGTCCTCCTCCTCCTCCTCCTCCCAGCCCTTTCCATCTGCTGAGGTGACTTCATTCCAACCCACTAATGGGCTTCAGAGTGCTCTTAGGGGGAGTCCATTTAGCAGAGCGGTTAGCAGGGGCCAAAGGTGGTGCCCAGCCCCCACCCTGGGGGTTGATAATGGGCCGCAAAGTCTGAGGCTTAGCTGCACTCTAGACATAAAATATTCATTCACGTCAACATAATACATATGTAGGAACGTCATGGAAGCTCCTGGGAAAAGAGAAATGCCAGCCAGGTGGCTAAGTGCTCACTGGGAAAGAGTTCATGACGGCACGAGGCCATCCCAGCCAAGTGCCCACCAAGGAGTGGGCTGTGCTGTCCTGTCTGAAGGGGGAAAGTCTAGGGTGAGATTTCGACTCCCCAAAGGTCGAAGTGCACAAAGCCTCCATCTTCCCCTGCCTTCCTGGCGTCAACGTTGAAGGCCTTTCTAACACTCCTGTCCGACCTCTACGCACAAGTGGATTCCTTAAAGCGCTGTGTGTGCGGGATTCAACCCGGAACAGGACAAGAGGCAACACCGACCTCCTGTCCAGCCCACAGCCCACAGGCCAGCGAGAAGTTATCACAACCTACTAGGTATTTTTCCACCGTTACTCTTACTGGGTTCAAGACCCTCGGCAACATGAGCTGACAAAGGGCTCAGACATAGCAATTGTGACGATGGCACAGGATCAGGAAGGGACTAGATAGTACCTAACATGAAGTGCCAGGGACTCCCACCTAAACCAAACTCACTGCCTCACAGTGACCCGACCACAAGTCCACCCACATCCCTGGCCAGAAAGCAGCACCCCCACAGAGCCCTGGCTAGATCAAGGCACGTGCCAGTCAGCATACCCAGCTCACAGAGTGGGGAGTAAAATGACAGGTAGCCAAGCCGACCCACCTAGAGAACAGCACACAGACCCACTATTCTGTGCAAGATTTAGCCAGAATCAACTCTCGATCTCAGATCTCAGCACGGACCTTCCCACCAAGGCCTTGGGGGTCCAGAGGAAGTGCATCAGCAGGGGTTCACTTCAGCATCCTAGAAGCTGAGCCAAACTTCCCAACACCT